GGTTTAAGGTTTAGGGTTAGGGTTCAGGGTTTAAGGTTTAGGGTTTAAGGTTCAGGGTTTAAGGTTCAGGGTTTAAGGTTCAGGGTTTAGGGCTGGGGAGATTGCTATAGGGTTTGCGGTGTAGGATCAGGGTTAGGGTTTGGTGCCAGAGTCCAGTACTTGGAGGTTCATGGGTAGTTATAAGGTGGGTTATAAGTAGGGTAACTATAACTATAACCCACATTAGGGGACTTATAACTTATAACTCCACTTATAAATACCCTAAACCTTAAACCCTAAACCCTAAACCCCCATAACTCCACTTATAACTACCCATGAACCTCCAAGGAGGGATTTTGTTTTCGACCTCGGGGTTTGGGTTTGGGCATGATACATTGGGTTTAGGGTTTAGGGTTTAGGGTTATGAGCCGCATGTTTACAGGCTTCACAGAGCGGAAGCAAACCTGATCCGAAGTCACGAACCCTATCAGGGTGATACTGATCTCGAAGGCGGACCATTGATAAGTTGAGGTCACTGCTGGCCGTTCCGGGTTGAATCAAAGCAAGATGCTTGTTTGTAGATGTGTCCTTCCGCATCTCTAACAATAATGAACTTTGCCTGCTGCTGCTCACTTATGCCATATGTCTTTTGTCACTTCCAAAGCAGGGTCCATTGAAGCAATACGCGAAGTGCGAAGGAAGCCGCGATTTTGCAACAAAACTCAATTTCGTCTCGGGATTTCGATGAGTCTGTTTTGGGGTTCACGGTCAACGACCTTACGTAGCCGCTTAGCCTTAAACCCCAGAGACACGCCAAATTAGAGGCCTAAAGCCCTACAGCCTAAACCCCAACCACTAAAATCTGAATCCAAGTCAGCAAGTCCACAAGCTGCATGTGGGGCTAAAGCAGTCAGCTGCAAAGCCCGGCTCACAAACACAACCCAACAGCCCAGAGCTAAACCCCCTCCTTCGATGAACTCTAACCCGACGTCTCTCGAATCGCAGTGCCCGAAACCCGAAGCCCCAAAACTCTCTACACTCTAAAACCTGCATCCCTTCCCTCCGTGCTGCACCCACCTGAAAGGCCTTCGTGGTCTGATGGCATCTGAGCCCCAAAGAAGGGCAACAAGTAAGGGACGGAGGGAAGCAGGATATGGGCGGAGTTGGGCTTGGTGTTAGGGTTTAGGGTTTAGGGTTTAGGGTTTAGGGTTTGGGGTTTAGGCTTCAGAGCATAGGGATTCTGGAAATTAGGGGTCCATGAAACAATGCTTCCTGAAGGTGCATTGAGCAAGGAAGCAGTACACAAACATTTGAAGGATGTGACATAGAACATCATAGAACGCGGGCGCACACAAATTTCAGCAAACGAGCTATCATAATTTTAAAGATATGTTATATAGGAGAGTTGAAGTGGATGAAAAGAAAGGAAAATATACAATGGACAGACTGTGTATTTGAGATACCACAGGATGAAGCACTCGGCCACCGGATTTACGCCAAAGAAGCTCGAAAACCCAGCAATCCATTCAACGTGAAATTGAATGTAACGATGAAGGGTAAGAAGAACTGTGTATATCCACAGTTAGATGTAGGAGATGAAGGTAGAATATGCAGGAAGCGGAAACCGAATTAACAAGCAAGAGTTGGGAGATTACAGCCAAAATATTTATACAGCGGGGAGTATGTATTTTCGTTATAGTTCAGCAACCATGGCAGCATTAATAACACATAATGTTATGTTTGTAACCATCCTAATTCCTAAAAGTCAGTGACCAACTTTTCTTATTTCAGTTTTTGTTTGTTTGATGATATTTGGTTGTTTACTGTCGTGCGTTTTTTATATTATGGATTTTGCCCACTTTGTTTAGGCGGGGGAGGCGAAAAAAGGGAACAGGCACACAGGCAAAAGGGGAACAGAGGAATAGGCAAAAAGGGAACAGGAACACAGGCAGAAAGGGAACAGGCAAAAAGGGAACAGGGGAACAGGCAAAAGGGGAACAGGGACACAAGGAAAGCCGGACACACCGACGCGGCAATTCGGAAGCCGTGTGCCCATTTTCTGTCGAGTGCCCCGAAGGCTGAACGAAAGTGGCGGCAGTGACTTTGCAAAATATTACGTTGAGCATCGCTTTGGGGAATTGCACCCCGCACTGGCACAGCGTTGGTCGCTAAAACTTCAATTGATTTGTAGCGGTGCTTGTTTCTCAAAAGTATGCCAGTTTGTGGTTGCTAGATCTGGACGGGTGCTCGCAAGTAAATGCACTGTTTCACATATGCGTCATGTCATGCTATTCATTGCCCACTAGAGACCTTGACATCTTGTGCAGGAGCAGAAGTCCTCTTGCGTATGATGTCAGCATAGTCCGGCGTAGGGTTTTTGCAGAGTAAAGTCTGCGTAGCCGGTCCGCGCGCAGTCAAGACAGAACTGCAGCAAGTTGAAGAATCCGAGCATAGGGATTTCCCAAACCTTGAACCGAAAGATCCGAGCTTACAGTATTGACTTCCCAAACCTTGAACCAGATCCCAAGCTCCCTAACTTGCTTGCCGTGAGTACCGGTTTAGTACACGCGACCCTCGCGTGAGAATCCAGCCAAATTGTCAGACTCACAGTGCCACTTCGCATAGGCCACGTAGGCAAAGCATACGGAGCGCGTAGCCATAGCAGTGCTTTTGCCTCTCCTATAACCGTTCCTTCTTGTAGCCTGTTCTTAAGCAGTGTCGAGCAACAAGAGGTACATTCTGATCGTCTCCTGTGGGTTTCCGCTAGCAAATGCAGAAGTAGCCAGCACCAAATCTCCAGAAGTGTCGAAATGCTGGAAAACCCACCCTGACAAAAGATCATAACAAAGAGTATGGACTTCCTAGCCGCTTAGCTATTTTAGAGTGCATTCTGATCGTCTCGGGTGGGCTTTCGCTAGTATGTACAGGAGGCCAGGCCTAAACCTCCAGAAATCAACTTGGTGAGATGCGAATATGCTTGAAGAAGTCATAACCAACAGCATGGTCGTACGAGTTTTCCTTGTCAAATCCAGCCCGACAGTGTTCCAGATGCTGGAAGAACTACCTTTGCATAGCGCGTAGGCTGCGTAGGCAAGGCTTCTCCATGAGCACTTGCGTAGTCCCGCGCCCCATCTAAAGCAGGGATCCAGCGGAGTCCCGCGTAGTCAACAGCGATACTAGAACAACCCGAGCCACAAAAAAGAACACTGCTCGACATGGTTGCTTTCTTGCCCGCGAAGAAGAAGTTCCCAACAGAGTTTCTGAAGCCAGTCGCCTGGGCCAGTGATGAGCCCTGCGATGCATATATCCTTGTCTTCACTGGCGCAGCTGGCTTGAAGCACGGCCGGAATGTTGAGGACAGCAAGCGCAGCAGTCTTGACTTCATCACCAGCTACAAGCATTCTTACCCCGATGATTTGAAGCGGGCAGAGGACGACTTGAAAAAGGTTGAATTCAACTATGAAGAGGCAAAGAAGCTTAAGCTGATAGAACGTCGCGGCAAATGCGAAGATGCAGAATACAACTGCATCACCAAGAACGACGTCGTGGAAGAAGTCAAGAAGTTGGCAGGCATGCGGCGTGTGAATGTTGGCCTTCCTGGAAGCCTTGGTTGGTTTGTTGATGGCACAGAAAAATACATCAAGGTGTCTGTCACGGGAGTAGTACATTGGTTCAGCTTCCGCACCGACACTTAGGCAGCCTGCCAAACGGGGGAGAAGATTGCCAGCCAGAATCACAAGACCTCAGCGAGTCTGCGGTGGAGAACTTGCGGCAAGCTCCTTTGGCTTGGAACCTGTCCAGCATCTGCTTGAAGGAAGGTGCGTGACCAAGGTCGTGTTTCACTGGAAGCAGCAGCAGTGTGCAATCGCGCCAAAAAGACTGTGAGCATCGACGAGCGCTTCTAGAATCAACCTTATTCCTAGACTTTCTTCCTAGTATAGATAAACTAATAGAATAGACCATCTCCATTTTGTAGGAAAAAGGGTTTCGGGTTGCTGCTATCGGGTTTTACTCTATGAGGGTGTTGGGTTGAGTATGTTTTTTTCTGAGGGGTTGGGCATGGTTCCATAGTATGGTTTTCATCATGTGGATTTTACTATGGGTATTTTAGTGAGTTAGGGGTTGAGGTATAGATAATTATGGTTTGGGGTTCGGGGGTGCTGCATGGTTAGAAAACGGAAACGGTATCTGCTAACTGTTCCGCAGTCCCTTGCGTTTCTGGCTCCGAGATATGGAGGCATTTTTTCGAGAAGAGGTGTGCGCTCTGCCACTTTGCAGCCAGGAGCCAGCTGAGCGTGTTATAAAGCCCTATATACCCTAAACCCCTAGACCCTAAAAACCCTTGAAGAAATCCGTGAGCCCTAGAATTCCCTTTCAAGTCAAAGAAACCCTATGTGGACGGTTTGGTTGCCTGAAAAGAGAGGCTCTGTTGCATTAGTTGTGGTGCGGCGGTCGCTACACGCCCGCAGACCCCTCGAGATCAATCGCGGGAACTGCTGAATGATGCTTGTATCGCCAAGGGCTGGAGTCACAGAAGCGTGCTCGCGACAGCCGCGCGCGAACCCTGAATCACACCCAGACCCTACGCCCTGAATGACGGGGGTGCCCCACAAGCCTCCGAACGTCGGGGGCAAACGGAGACAGCAGGGAAGCCTGGGTTGGTGCTGAAGGGATTGGGGATTTGGTGTTCGCGGCTTAGGGCTTCTGAATTCGCTCCTTACTGTTACTATTCTTAGATTGGGACACGTACTACTGTTAATTAATTTCTTTAATTCGTGTATGTTTATCGTTTATTACTGTCATTAGTACTAGTGGCTTCTTGTCAAGGAGTCGTTTGGGCACAACATCAAGACACCTGGTCGCTACGGCCCTCAAGTCAAGGCTACTTCAGAACCGGAAACGCCAACCCCAAAGCTACCCTAAAGTCCAGGCCCTAAACACTGAACCCTAAACCCTGAACCTTAATTAAACCCTACACCCCAAAACAAGATCGATAGCTGAATGTCCTTGGGCTCCAGTTGGTCGTCCGGGCTTTATCCAGTTCTGTAAGGTTTAGGGCTTAGGGTTTAAAGTTCATGGGGCGCACAACGGGGTACCATAATGTATAATCATAGCATACTAGAAGTGGACCTTGGTTTCGGATTTAAGGGTTTTGGGTGGCTTGTTGGGTTGAAATGCCAGGCTTCCGGTTGGCTCGGGGGTCGGTAAGCCCTAAACTCTCACATATCTAAACCCTAAACCCTAAAATCCTAAAAATCCCTAAGCCCTAAACTCTAACATCCTTAAGCCCGAAACCCTATCAGCCTACGCCCTAAACTCCTTTCAGGCTCAGGTTTCAGGATGTCGTTCAGCCCAGGCAATGGTCCACAACACAACCAAAAGCTCCACTGAGGGACCTGCCTGTTTAGGGTTCAGGGTTTAGGGTTCAGGGTTTAGGGTTTAGGGTTTAGGGTTTAGGCTTAGGGTTTAGGGTTGAGTGGGGGTTATAAAGGACCAGGGTTTCTGGATCAGGTTCCTGCATTAAACACCTTACGCCCTCGCGCTTCCCACCGCCAGCCGGACTTAGGCGGAAGAAGAAGAAGAAACACAAAAAAAACAAGAGGCCGGGAGATGCATCGGGGTCGCATGGGGTTTCTTCTAAAGTATCCGCTGCCAATCTTATTCTTGTTGCGATTCTTATTGTGATTGTTATTGTTGCTATTATCACTATTACCATGATTACTACTGAAGCCTTAGCAAACCTGTTGAACCATGTAACTCCGCTTCTAATCTGCGTGGCACCTGCAGTTCCTGGCCCTTGCGAGAATGCCGGAGCCTTAAAAGTCTACGCCCTAGACCCTACCTAAAACCTAAGCCCTAAGGTCAAAATAGGGTTTAGGGTTTGGGTTTAGGGTCTAGGGTTCAGGGTTTAGGGTTTTACGGCCAAAGCCCAAAAGCCTAAGATCTAAACCTTATGATGAGAGCCTCAAGGATTCACGGAAGGTCGACCCTGATGCCTTCAAACACAAGGGAAGACCCCCAGGGCACGTTTTCAGGCTCCCGAAAAATCCTAAGCCCTAAACACTAAGCTCAGAAAGACCCCCACGCCCTTCCTTCAAAGCCGAATCCTCGGTCTCCCTGGAGCCCGGAAGCCCTAAACCCCTCAGACGCACCACGCAAGCCCTAAACCCGCAGACACACCAAACCCTACACCCCAAACCTTAAGGTCTAAGCCTTAAGCACTAAAGCTTAAACCCCAAACCTTCAAGGTCTAAGCTTTAAGCCCTAAACCCTAAACCTTAAAGGCCTAAGCCTTAAACCCCACCGGACGCACTAAACCCTAAACCCTAAACCCCTAAACCCTAAACCCCTTATAGATTCCTTTATAGAGCCCTTATAGATCCCTTTAAAGGAACCCTAAGCCTTCCACCCCACCAAAAAGCCTAAGCCTTCAACCCAGACCCCTTATAGATCCCTTTAAACCCTAAACCCTAAACCCTAAACCCTAAACCCTAAACTTTAAACCCTAAAGCCTCAGCCTTAAACCCACCAAAAAGCAGGAGTAGCTCATCAGACTCCCGGAGCTCTGACCGTCTGGAAGCCCAGGGTCGGAGGATTCGAGCCAGTCGGGGAGGCTTTAGTTTAGGGTTTTGGGTTTTAGGTGTGGGTTTAGGGTTGAGGGTTGAGGGTTTTGGGTTTAGGGCTTTGGGTTTAAGGTTTAGGGTTTTGGGTTTTAGGTGTGGGTTTAGGG